GTTACATTTAGAAGAGGAAAGTTTGAAACTCAATCTTCTAGAAGTGTGTTTTACTGTATTTTGTTGGTGCATGTTTAGTTTTAGGGGATGCACAAACTTTTATCAAGAATAACATTTTCTCGAATAACCCTTAATAAATAAGTTTCCCATATGGTGCATACTTTGGGGATGGCACTGTACCATCGCAGACTTTTTTGTAGACGTTTTTAAGACAATTTTTCGAATTTCCATATCAATATCAATATAAATGAGAGTTAGAATGTTTCTATATCTTCTCAAATTTCAATATTTAGGTAATACAAATAAGAATTAAAATGTTCAAAATTTTGTTCTGCAAAAAAATATAATTTTGACTTTTTAAACCTATTATAACTTGAAAAATCGATTACCTACGTCCAAAGAAGTCGAACTGAGTAAAAACAGAAGAAAACAAAAAAATCTATTCTAAAATGAAAGCGGATCATCAGTTGTTTTCTTCCGTATACTAGATTGGTTGTGAGGAATATTTTTGGATATTGGCTTTGGACATTATGGTGATAAGATGTGCAAAAATAAATTTTCAAATAGAAATGATAAATCAGAACCTTTCAACCTGTATTTTGTCGCTCTGACTTGCTTGCCCTGTGAGAATGGTTCTGAAATAAAATCATGTACCTTCAATATCATACCTACGTATCAGTGATTCAAATCAAAATACACCTAGTTCGTCATAATATGTATTTTCATAAATACAAACTTTGTTTCTGGAAATCCAATCGTGAAAAAAAAATATGAATGAGAAATCTTACTGACAATAGAGTTAGATGCTAAGTAATTTGTAAGGTGATATGTAATGTATGGAAGTCATCTATATTGGTACTATACGTAGATACATACATTTTTGTAAGTTATCAACAGCTTTGTTATATTTTTAGCAGTCATAAATTCGGTACACCTAAGTATATTTTGATTTATGATAATAAACACTTTAAAATATAAGATGATATTTCCCATACTGAGTTGGGTTTCATTTTTTTTATAATCTACTAGATTAGTCATATTTAGTGTTATATACTTAAGTATGTACTGACTCAATATCATGCATCATGGTATATTTATATTAATGCTAATGAATAGGTACACTTTGCCAACTTCATTATAATCAAATTTCAGGGCAAACAATTAGAGCATATCAGTAATCATTATAAAATATAAATATGCAGTTTATTTCACAGGCTTCAATAGATAGGTACACATTTTACGAGAAATTTCATTCAACAAAGCTTTCAGTCTCAAGTTATTTATACTCACCATAAACAGAGAATTACAATTTAAATTGTAGTAAGATTTTCCTTTTCGCAAAAGTTAGTATTCCGATTGAATCAATGTATCTTTATGAATAAAAATATTGGCTAGAAAATCCATTGAATTATTCCTATATAGGAATTTTGAAATTTTCAATATTTACAATCGATTTAAAACAGATTTTAAACAGAAATGAAACCCCTTTTTACGAGCCGCTTCTCATTGTTTACTTTGTAAGTTGTCATTTTGAGGTAAAAGATAAGAATTCTTCCTCTACTTACGTGACACCCTTGATTACATTCAACACAGAATATTTAAAAACATTCAAATTTAAGGAATGGTGCTTAAAGCATCTATAGAACTCTCTTTAAACTTCTATCGAAAAATATAAGCATAGCACAACTATTCACATGGGCGTCTTTTTTATAATGAATGAACTATTATAGCAACACTACATCTACATTTTAAACGTCAAAATAATATCTACAAATCATGTTCAATATTTCAATTCACGAAAATCTGATCAGAGTTAACAACTCAATGAAATCAAAAACCTGATAATGCTACACGAAAATCTGATCAGAGTTAACAACTCAATGAAATCAAAAACCTGATGATGCTACAAGAAAATTAAATAGGGTACCTACCACCCAAATGAGATATAATTATTATTTGGAGTAAATGTAAATTTATTGTTGTTCCTCAAAGCTCTTAGCACTACGTGCAAGTCTTGCACAGAATCTAAATGTATTTTACTGACAAAATGCTAACCTTTGGCTCACACATCTTATCAATCATTGTGCACCTAGGAGTTTGTGCGTTCAGATAGTTGCAAGGCATTAAAGTCACCATTGTTACGGTACCCGTCGGTACCAAGATTTTCACGTCACTCACGACACTACATCATCCGATACAACGACTCAAATCACAATTTAAACAGTAATTCTTTGTCACCATTTCCACGAAACCATAGATTTGCAGCTCAAAACACAACAATCCTTTGAAAAACCCCAATTAGTTAGCTAGACACAACTCTCAACGGCTAGGAATCGACTGGATAACATTGAGAAGAAGAGGTCCGCGAAGAGTGAGAGAGAGGGGGTAGTCGAATGCCCTCCTCTCCTAGCCCAGGGCAAACTCCGGTTCGACCAATGATGCCCAACTTGCGGTCGGAGTGATGCGAGACGTCCAATGGCAGGGCGGCGCTCGTTATTGCTCTTGTTTTGTTATGCATATTTTGTCGGAGAGATCTCGTTTTGCGTGCGCTAGATAGGGTAGAATGTCTTTGCTGTTATCTTATTAATTTGTGTTGATTTGAGTTAGGAATTTCTGCGACCTGCGGATCCGATGACTTGAAAGGGATGAAGAATATTGATTTGGATGTGATTTCGGGTACCTTTCTAATTAGGAGAAATTCTTGGCGTTTGAAAGTTGCTCATATTGGGTATCTACCTATAATAGATAGGTATGTGAACTTTTTTGGTTTCAAATGTCGGTTAGCCCATTTTTACGACTAAGCCAAGCTAACATTTTTTATCATTCGTTCATTGCGATTCCAGAATTGCTAAGATGCAAAAAGGACTTTATTCTTTTCTAAATAGTGTACGAAGTATTCCAGGGGCGTAACAGTGTTTTGAAAATGGGGGTTCAAATACATAATTTAATGGATTTATCCAATGACGATTGATTACCTCTGAAATAGATAGGTATGTCAAGTGAAATGAAACTGACATGACAAATTCAAAGTTGCAATTTTTTTCTACGGGTTGAATAATCAGATTCAACGACGGATAATATCATTCATTCAACAAATTTTGAAAACCTGCATACTGCATACCTATTTTAGATAGAGAAATTAATACAAACAAAAGAATAGAAAGAGAGACATTCAATGAATAACAATTTCTACTGACAGATACCTATTGAAACTCTTGGCAAAATTCACACAGTCTATTTCCTCAAGCAATTAAGTATAGAGTGGGTTGAAAAGTGAAAAATGTAGTATTTGATGTAACAAATGTCAGAAAACTTCTTAGAGGCATTTGTGTAACAAAAGTAACAAAAATGTGAAACTCTCGCATCAATAACCGATACATGTTTTTATTTGAACACCCAAAATTGTGTATACTTTTTAATTCCCATTAAAATGTGCAATAATCTATATGAAAAACCACTTTTCAATGTAACACATACCAGCAGAGAACAACTTTCATTCTGTTTTCGACTATAGAACTGTCGCACAAAAAAATCAACAAATCATAAACAAAATCATAAAGTGTCATAAAAACGAACATTTAATCAAATACCTAACCCCAACATTGTATACAAATCGACTAAAGCTATTTAAACTAAGTAGTTGTAGGAAAATGCAATTTTTTATATATCCTTGAGCTCAGAGATTCGGTTTATATCTCATCAATCGTCGCAAAAAGCCATCTTTCCATGGGTCTCTTCAATCTTGAGAACAGGAAAAAGTCACCGGGAGCCAAATCTGGAGAATACGGTGGCTGAAGCATGATGACGGTGTTGTTTTTGGCCAAGAAATTGTGAGCAGGTGCTTCATTGTAATGCAAAAGCCATAAATTGTTTTACACAATACCGGGCGACCATGTGGCAAGAATTACTGATTCCTGATTCGTCAATAGTTATGACCCTTTAAGCAATTCTGATCCGTTAACGTCATTCAACAATTCCTGAGCGATACTCAAGCGACAGTTTTTATGGTCAAAACTCGCAATTTTGGAACAAATTTCGCTGTTACAGTCTACATGCCAAAAATTTACAACAGTGCACTGCTTCAATTGGCGCTTGCTTGGGTTAAATTGAATAACTTTTCACTGACGTATAACAGTTTAAAGTAGACTCATAAAAAAAAGGACACAACTTTCGAAACAACCTGTATTATACGAATTTTTGTACGCCGCTGGACGGCAATTTAACAATTGACAAGCTGTCGATGGGCGCTACGCCCTCCCAATAACAGACGTCCAGGTGGGGGAGTGAAAATGAAATTGCTTTATTTTCTTAGGGCTATTGGCTCCGCTTTCCAGTTGCCATGGCGACCTAATGGGAGAAATTTTCTGAAATTCGTGGGCGACTTCCTTGAAAATACCATTTATTTCGAACAAAATTGGAGATACAGTACGTAATGGTTATATGTTATATAGATGTTTCTAGTCACATTTTGATGGAGTGAGAATATGTACAAGGTGTCTCATAAGTCATGGAACAAAGTGAAAACGGTTGATAGAAGAGGTCATTTATGATAAAAAAGTTCATTTGTAGGCCAATTCCTCGTCCTTTTCAAGTATGTTTTATCTTTGTGATGTAAACAAAAGCACTTGCTTTCATTACAAAAATATATTGTTAAAAACCCAAGATTTCTCAAACGATTTTTTGAAAGGAGTAGCAGGATTATTGATCTTTCATTTGCAGTAATTATGTAAACATTTCATGGTTCTCACAGAATCTGGAAACTCAATTTCATTTTTTACATTTCTGTTCTTTACAAAGGTGCAATAGTTTGCATGGGTATAAATCAAGTCAACGAAATCACCCATTTCGATAAAAAATACTGAGTACATCCCAATTGTTGAAAGTACGAGATTTGTTCAAAAAATAAGGTGATTCAATCATCAATTTTCAGTTTTCAGTTCTGATATGTATCGGTTTTTTATTCGATTTTTGTCTCCTCGATCGTCGCAAAACGCCATCCTTTCATGGGAACAGGAGTAAGTCGCAGGGGTCAAATCTGGTTAGAACATACACTATAGTTCAACGTCAAAATTTTGTATCAACATGGTTGTGTGCAGATTTTTATAAAAATATTATAAACACTTATATAATACACATATAAACATACCTATATAGATAGTTACATATAATATTGCATAATAAATTGATGGATGTATCCGTTACTACGTGGTAGGAGATCATAATGAAAAGAGGAATGAAAATTTCTATGTTTTTTAGCACTTTTAATTGTAACTAAGTTTATTGTAGTTAGTTTATTGTATAAGTGATCACTTGAAAAAGCTAATGTCCTAGCGAAACATGTTGTGGTATATTTTTCAAATGAAGTTTATGGAGATCAAATCGTTGAGGTGTAGTTTTTGAAATTACTATGGATCTTCATCAAGTAACGGCCAAATAAATCAGAAAAAAAAGCTTATATCTAAGCATTTTGTTGGTCAAATTTGCCTGTCTTATATCTTCGGGCACGTGATTGAACATCTTGACCCCATTGTAATAAATAGAATTCTTGACCAAATTTGTTAAAGGAATTGGCAATTTCAACCCGGTGGAACGGGTGCTATAAGAATGTCATGAAGCCTCATATAGGGACATATTTTTGTAAATGAGGCAAACCGATTCCAAAATGAACAGAGCAATCACTGTTAAAAATCTTTTGCTCAACGAATTTGTGTTTGCATGAATCACGAGGTTTAATCTTACACATATACCTCTGATAGCCCGTTTCTGCAGTACTAATACAGACAGGAGTGCTGATGAATTGCATACTCCCCAAAACGGTATTCCATAACGTAGGTGGCATTCAACGAGAGCGTAATACACCGTTCTGGCATTTTTTATTCCCAAATTTATTGAAGTTACTCTCACTGCATAGCATGCAGAACCAATTTTAATTTTAATTTGTTTGGTATGTTCAATAAATTTGAACTTATTGTCAATGTGAATACCTAGAAATTTAGATTAAGTCTCGTTCTTGATCACTTAGTTATCACCAAATGACAGGTCATCAAGAGCACATCTGAATGATAAATTGTTAGTTTTAGTGATATTGAAGGATAATGGAATGAACATTTGAAACAATGAAAAATAAAACGGCATTCTATAGCTTCCTTTCTCTTGCACCGTCTTTTCGAAACAGAACATATCGACCGGCAGAAGACAAAAGGGTCGAAGTAAGGAAAACGTCGAATTCGGTTCGAGTTTTCCTTTTAGTTTGTTAGCGGCATTCTGCCAAGCCATCGTCGATCTCTACGTCGGATCCTGTTGTGGATAGATAGGGCGCCGCTCGTAGATATCAAATTACCCCATTATTCTGCCTTAGCCACCCTTACCTGATGCTGCAGCCTCTCTCTCTCCGATGAATCGTTAGCCAAGGGCGTAGAAGATGTGAATGGGGAATGAAAACAGTTTTTTGTGGTAAACTAACTGACCAGGCGAACTTTATTCCGCGCCATAGAATTAATAAATGTTAAGTTATTAGCAGAGTTTTTCAATTTAAGCACGGGACCAGGCCATACTAACACGGCCAGTGTAGCCAGGTCATTGTCGTGCTTAACCGTAGAATTTGTGTCAGAAAAACAGAATATTGATATTATAAATATATTACATACTACATACCTACATAAAGTGACCAGACGTCCCGTTTTGAACGAGACTGTCCCTTTATTCGACCATCTGTCCCGTTGTCTCAAATAATAATCTGGGACGTAAAATAGTCCCGTTCTAAAATCATCTCTAAAAAAACCTTTGATAGGTATCGGATGTAGACTCCATATAATTCACAATGCTATAAAATCTGCTGCAGACGGCCTACCTTTAGATCAGGGGTCTCCAAACTTTGAAGCCTTCGGGCCATAATGATTTTTTCAGTTTGTTCCAAGGGCCAATTTCTGCCCTTAACTATATTTCTAGACTAGGATAGTCGCAAAGTGCGTGACCTAAGCAAACTTACGCT